AGGGCAATTCAAAACGTTTTGCATGGCTTCAGCAGCTGAAATCTCTTTTTTTTTTTTTTTTTTTAAACATATCCATCGAGTCAGTGACGCTTGTACATGCACAATTACAAAAATAAAACTTACAAACAAGAGAAGGGGAGAAAAAGGAGGAAAGCAAAACACATTAGGAGAACCAAGAGGACATGAAACTTTTAAAGATAGGGGTTGGGAGCGGAGAAAAATTGGGTCACATAACAGGGAAAGACAGAGAGAAAGACAGCTATAGAGGAGAGGAAAATAGATCTAACACTAGTTCACATGCAAAGTGTCGAGGACCCATGGCTTTCTATCAAAGCAGGGCCTTTTTTTTTTCTTCTCAGTTTGGAATTGATGAAAACGTGCAGTTCGGTAAAGGGTGCCATATAATTGCTGTCCATAAACTACTGAATGCTTGTCTTGCAATACTGGCATTTGCATAAGAGTAAGTCGACTACATGTGTCCAATCATTTTAAACTTTGCTAGGTCTATAAGGTCTCCACAAAATAGTTCTTTATTGCTCTGTGTCAACAAGTGGAATATACTGTAAATCTGTTTGTGTTCTGTTGTCCTGATGTGCCTACCTTTCTCTGGTTGGGGTGCTTCGGAAAAAGAAGAGGAGGAAAGGCAGATTCTCAGGTCAATTCACAGAACATCTCGAAATTAGTAATACTGTCAGCTAACCTGCCGCCCCATTCACAAATGGCAGTAAAAACAAGATTTAAGCTTTTCATACAGCTACACTCTTAATCATAAATACCCTCTACACTGTCACCTAAATGAATTATAAAGGCCTAAAGAAGTGGCCAAAGTTACACAATAATATGACAGCTTTCTACGAAAAAGCGTCAAATCATTTATCTTAAAGACATATACATAAACAACCATCATTTCAGGGCTCTAGTACTGTGTGTACTGAGGTTATTTTGAGGAAACTGTTCATACACTACAGCAAGCCGTGTTAAAGATTTCACTCTTGCACTGTTGAACCTGTTTGTCTGCTAGAAGGGGTTTTGAATTTCAGCTTCTCGTGCTGTGAATCACATGTCCTGCTCTGTTTCCTCCTCCCCGTTTTGGCACCCTGAGTAAAATACAGAAGGGAGGTGAACCAGTCCCTCAGTCTGGGTAAAAATAAATAAATAAATAATAACAATGCTGCCTTCACCACTCAATGTACAAGTGAAATTGACACCTGACATGTCAGCATGTGTGCTGTGCGGTGTCTTGTGCGTGTGTTTGTGTGTACCGTGTGTCACTTAGTTGCTATATATACTGTCACAATGTCTCTACCCTTGTCCTTTTGTCTTATTTGAAGTTGGGAATCTACTGATTAAAAAGGATTTTAAAAAACAAAAACAAAACAAAAAGTTAGAGCTTGTCTAAAAACAATCCCGTCCTCATGCTTTGCCATGAAATCATCAGTAGCTACTGAGTATTGATCACTGGCTCAATTAGTAGGTTTGCCCTTCAGTCACATGCCCTCTGTCTTTCTGAGTTCTGTGACACCTCAAACCAATGTTCATTGCTTTACAGAACAGTAAGTCCTTTAACAAGTCTATCTGACTACCGATTCTAGGAAAATAAGCATGCTTTAGGTGCACTTCTGTCACCCAGTTAACTATTTTACCCATGCAAGCATAATAAATCCTTCTCCTTTTTGCCGCAACATTGCATTGGCTACGCATTCTAACCACAGACTAGAGGATGAATGCAAGGCAACAAACTCCAGTAGTGGCATTTCTAAATGTGGTTTTTAACAAGCTGTTCCAACAAAAAATGGAAAAGAAGACAAAAACAAAGAAAGAAAAAAGCTAGCATGTTGACAAGCTTGAGTGCTGTATTATAAGTGTTGTGTGCAGGCATATAATTGTGGCTTTGGTGAGTGGAATGGTATAACAGTGGCGATCGTGTGTATTTATGTGGAAGATAGAGCACTGTCTGTGGGTGACCGCGTTCTCTCACATCAACCTCAGATACAATGCAAGTATTCTGAAACTGGATTACTGTTTTTAGGATATGAATATAGGCACTTCCTACATAAACACTCTGGAAATTACGTTTACATATCAGGTGACTGGAAAAACAACAGCGAAAAACAAACAATTAAAAAAACAGTGACTCAAGTAAATAAATTGGAAAAATACACATTTGGCTTAATTATAATTTAACAAACATGACAACAGTTCACTAAACAAAACTCAAGTTTTCCAGTGGCACTTGGCTGAATAATCACGTATCAATACTTGGATACAGGATAGACTTTATGGTGGTAATATATAATAGGGATTAAACAGCAGCCAACAGGCACCTCTGAACCAGCAGCTTTACTGTTGTTATCTCTCAAATTGTTCCTCCATCCCAATTACATTTTCTCTGCTATACTATCATTTTATAAATAACCCGATGCACAAAATGCATCTTATCTTTCATAATTACAAATGGCACTAGTGCACTGGTTTGCACTTTAGTTTCTGCAGTTGTTTGGACTCTGTAGTGAGGACAGTGACTACTTTCAGTGCCATCCTTCTGTTTAGAATCATTTTAGCACCTTTGACTGCTGGCACAGTTCATTTTGCAAACTTGTTTTCAGCTGCTTGGCAAAGAAATGTGGTCATGGACATAATGCTACATGTGGTTTTTAACGAAACGCGTTTTTCTGACATGGAATACAACATACAATACATTTAGACTCTGGCAGCCTTGATCCAGTGCTTTTAACCGAAACACCGTACAGAGAAACACCCGTCACTACTCGACTACGAGGAACAACTCTGAATTCTCCAAGTGTCGGTCGATGCAGCACATTGTAAATTAAAGTTTGCATGTTTACTCCCATCTTTTTCAGGGACAGAGTAACAATGTGAATTGTTTTATATGTCCACCACGGGCAAGGCTGCCATTTACAATCTTAAAGATCAGATAATACCTCAGCAATGAGAAATCAGCACATTCCATTTGCAATGACAACAAAAAAAGTAACTCAACTTTGTTACGGTGTGTTCGGTGATTGATAAATGCTCTATTTATCTGTAGAAATGGTGCACGCGTGACAGACTTAAATGCTTTCAGCACGAATATGACTTTCTTTGCAAACTGTGTACCTTAACGTTTTTGCGATCCTCTGCCAGTTTTGATGTGATGATCTTCAGTGCTAGTGTGTATTTCACTGGATGATTATCTGTTCTGCAAAAATTAACTTAATTTTCTTCTTAAGCTATATAGCATTCACATACCTTGGCACCATTGGCAAAAGGTTCTTGGTAGCCCAAAAGAAAGAAATGAAAATAAAATAAAATAAACACAACCATACTTGTTTTAAGATAATTTTGAAGACTTCTCCTAACACTAAATACAGTATTTTTTATTTTTTCATATTGCAATAATATCATGCTTTAGCAAAATGTTCTTCTCAAGAACAATCAAAATAAAATAAAATACTCTAATAGTGAAATAGTTTTAATTTTACAGAGCATAGCCACTACTGCTTTTGTTGTTTTTTTCCCTTTTGACTCTGTTCATACTTTTCATGCACATAGCTCATTTTTATCCCAGGTATTTACACTATATACAAACAATACAACCATACTTCTTAGGCATTCAAACGAAACTATACAAATATTCTGTTTTTGTCTCTTACCTGTTTTTGACCCATTTTAATGAATAAAATAATATATTTCTAAAATACAATCCCCCTTGGGTACATGTTTTTTTTTAATCCCTACGTACTTTCAGCCTTCTTTATATACAGAAATCGCTCAATTGTCAAAAATATGGATTTGTCAAACCCCTATTTTGGGACAAGCTTAGGGACCCCTCAAAGAATCTCTAAGACGTCAAGGCAATGTATGTGATCTTCCCCTCAAAAACCTTCACAGGCTCTGAAGTTCACTTCAAAAAAACAGTAATAACCTGCATGACCATAACCATTACAACACAAAATAAGCCAGGTTTTTTTCCACTTTGTAGGTTTCGAAGAAGCAATCAAACCAACAAGGCAAACCAAAATGAAATACAAAGAAATCAGACAATACAGGGATAGCTTCATCAATGAAATGTTGGAATTCATAGAGAAGAGTACAGATATGTGGACCAATAGAGTGGAAACAAAACCAAAACCAGAGGATAGGCTGAAAGACTAGACCAAAGCACACAAGCAAAGACTTTTCTTGCCAAGAAGTCATGCATTTTTTTTCTTGGTAGGATTTAACAACATATAGCCTGAAGATACAGATCACCAATACATTGGACATGATGGAAGAAATACATTGGACAGTGTGGAACAATTCAAGTAATAAAGTGACAATATATATATGATAAAGCATAGTTGTTTTTTTTTAAAGAAATCTTAAAACAAATATTTGATCCCCCATCTGCTTCAGTATGGTAAACCCCCAACTACATTCATTTGTAGCTCCACCTGTGTGGGTAGACTGGTGGGGTAGAGCACAGTGGGACAGGAGGAATTGTTGAGCTAAGCTGAATATTAATCTACAGCAGTGGATAGAAGTGGGCGTGTGGGTTATTAATATATTTGGTAAAAAAAATCCCTTCTTCAAATGAATTGATTGGTCACTTAAAAAATTATGAAATACAATTAGAGCTCAGAGTATTTCGGCATGGTCTCTCTGTCCTCTGAGATCTTCTGCAGCAGCCACAGTTTACACCTCTTGTCCCGCGTTTGCTTCCTTCACTGTCCAAATCCTCTTCATATTCAAAAAAAGACAAAGCAATCCATGAAAAAGTGCAAAAAATGCCAAGAAGCTAATGTTCTGCACCCCCACCCCTACCCTTTTAGTTTATAATCCTGTAGAAGTTGCCACTCTCCAACCAAAATCAAGTCAGTGGAAAGAATAGATATGTGAAAAAAATGCTGTTGTATATGTAATCGCAGTTGAACCAGTAACACTGCAGTAGTAGTAATAATTGCAGTGCTTGCATTGGTGGTGTTTCTTTTTTTTTTTTCTCTCAGTTTCTCTTGTAAAATGTCTCGGGTACAAACAAAAAAGAAAAGAGGAATCAGGAGAGTGATGTCACATCGCAAGGGAGCTCTTCTGAGGGGTCTCATGTTCCCTGGCCCTTTTCAATTCTTTCACCCTGGAACACAGAAAAAAACAAAGTGTCCATGAATGCAACAGCCATGATTTGAGTTTACTAAGTCACATACACATAAAAATATCAAACCAGCCCAGTAGTAGGAAGTACAGCCCATCTGTGAAAGGAAATGCTGGTCAGAATGCTTTCACTTTGTAATGAACAAAAGGAACTGTTATAGCATAATTACAGAGTCATTACTAGTAAAAACAAAATATTTAGAAGTGGGATTAAATGTGACAAAATAAATACAGATACATAAACAGTATTATCACAATATTGTTAATAATAATTACAGTTTTTCTCAGCTAATCTACCAGTATGTGGTATTCTGACAGATAGAATTATTGCTCAGTATCATTATGCCTAAAATCCATGCATTATTACACTAGATTTTATGAACAATAGCAGATTAAACAAAGTTAAACTTTCCACAAAGGACTGATTCATTATCAGTCAAGTAGTGCCTGTTACAACAATTAGCTTTACCGTAAAGGCTAACTTTATGGTAAACAACCACCACTTTGTAATGGATTTAGACTAGCTCTGGTTGGATTTAAACTAGCTCTGAGAAGACCAATACTACAACATGTATGTATTGAAGAGAAGCAGACTGTGATGCTGCATGATTAGATGCAGTGGTGGATCTTGTCATGCTGAGCTGGTATACTGCCTGGAGGTATGGATCCATTAAAGCTGTGTGTTGTTGTCCTGGTGTTAGAAATAAACTATTTTATACTATGTGGGGTTTTTTGTTTTCTGTAACGGCTTCAAACCTATATCACAGTACAGAGGACACACTTGCAATAACAGGTGGTAACATTAACAATCTAATCTGCTCTAAAAGCATGGTAACCTAGTTTTGAACAACATACAACTAATCCAAAAAAGAGTAAACACATGTAATCTTAATGTCTCAGAATCAGAGGTTAAGTTATGCATACAATATTTGCACCATTTCCCCATTTAGGTGAATCTTTTAGTACACTATTGGCTTATTTATTGGTTTGTCTTGATGATTCAGTGGGCATAACACAGCTTCACACAGTTTTAGTAAACAGAAGTTAGAGAGGGGTTAAATCCCCTCGCGGTCTGTCGAGTGGCTAGAAACATTGCACACAGTCAGCCAGCCAGACAGACAGCTACTTGAGAAACACCAGGCCCATAGCATGCCTAAAGGTATAAAAGCAAGGCCCATAGTTGTCACCACTTGTCATGCAGCAGAATAAAAGATGGTTGAGAAAAAGCCTCCTGTTCTCTCAAACTGCATAACCACAAAAAGCTGAAAAGAAAAAAAAACATAAACAAAAAGTAATTTCCAAGGAGAGAAAGACAGAGATAAAGAGAGTCAAAGTAGTATCTGTTAAGTGTTTCTGTGATTTTGTCATTCATAAGCAAGTTGTTAGTTTGATATGTTCTGCTCTAAATCTGAGCTTCTCAGTCCACCTGTGGCTCCAGTCGGCAGCCTTCATGCAAGCAGGCATCAAGCAATAGTGATGGATAATGAGGAAGGGTGGGTAAGGTGGTGGGAGAGAAAGAGCAAAAGAGAAAATGAGCGAGGAAAGGAGGGAGAGAATGCAAATGCTGAGACCTCAGGAGGAGATAATTGTATTATTAAAGAGTGAGACATAACAGGAAGTAAGAGAGAAAGAGGCATACGGAATAAACAGCGAGAAGGAGAGAGAGCGAGAGAGAGAGAGAGAGAAAGAGAGGCACGAACTGAGTTGCTGAGGCTGCACTCACCCGCTTGAACAGTCTATGGTCCATCAAGGGGCTTGGCATAAACAGCAAAACAATACCAGACAGCTATTAGCACACAGTAGGTACTGTGAAGGAGGGGGCGAGAACGGGTGGGGGCCAGGTATAGTGAGGGGAAGGGAGGTGGAGCTTAGGTGTTGGGGACATTTCTAACTACCCATTTATTTTCCACAAAAATAAAATCATTACACAGAGTTAAAAAAAATAATCTAGAGATGGATGAAAACATGGCAGCAATTTCTACAATGACTAACTGATCATCTCAATGAGATATTAATCTTTTAGGCCAACCGCTGCAGTAAATCTGACAGTGAACTCTATCTAGCCTATGTATAAATGAGTATGTTATCGTGTGTTTGAGACAGTGACAGAGCCTACCTGTGGCGACAACGTCGTAGGAACCTCATAATCTTCCTGGCAGCCTGATCCTGCCTCTTTGTGAGCAGACTACTTCTATGAAACACCAGACAGACAACAGCGTCTCACTGTCTGGAAAAGCATCTTTTGCAGAGCCACAGTTTAACTTTTATCTTTCACTGAAACTCTAAAAGGTGCCCATTTAAAACACACTACAATTAATAAACTGAAAATGACTATGAGTCATCTCCAAAGTGCTTAGACTTCTCTCATTAAAAGGGTATTTTCACAAAGTCAAGTCCAATAAATCAAGAACATCATTTTGTATAATGTAGTTTAACAAAGCGGTCGCTTCATTAATATAATGTCTCAGCTTCAGAATGAATAGATTCGAGTGATTCAGTTAATTCAGTACGTGGATGAACGTCTACCTTAGTTTGTGCTGCACCAGAGCAGCAGCAGCCCCGCGGTGGTGTGGCTTCAGCCTGCCAAACTCCTTGTAGCTGCGGTAGTATTGCTGAATGAGCACGGCAGCCCTCTTGCTCTGCTGGAACTTCTTCTGTTCGTGGTAGCTGCGGAATTTACTCTGGATAAGGATGGCGGCCTGCGTCATCTTCTTATAAAGTGCATACTGCCGACATGAACAAAGCAATACGTTACTGCTGACGAACAGTGCTATGGCTTCACACTGTGGAAGAACACAACCAACAAGTGTGGCGATTACATCAGCTGATGGCAATGAGAACATTTTACCTTCAAGGCTATCCATGTTAGCTTGTAGATGGGAAAAGGGAAAGATAATGAATGAAGTACTGAGACGTAAACGCTGATGTAGATTTGGCTATGTTTTGAAAACTTCAGACATTACGCACTATGGTGCCTACCTGTTTGTACTTCTTGTAACAACGTTGTATAACAGCAGCAGCTACCTCTTGTTGCTCTCTGAGCGGCCGCCCCTGTTGGAGAGTAAAGTGGTATAGGTCAGAAGTTTAAACAGAGCCCATTTTTGCCACAGAGGATATTAGTGGCTCTGTGTCCCTGAGGTCTCCTGGTGACATGGTTCACTAGCATGTGAATGCCACCCTGGAATAAGTCCACGCCTGGTGGACCAGACCCACGTGAAAATTGGGGAGGTTTTCGAGAAAGAGAGAGAGAGGGAGACAGAGAGACAAAGGTCCACCTCTGCATCAGCTGGCAGATGGGCACAACAGACGACTGTGAACGACAGTGAACAGTTTGTCATACGAAAACTTATTAAAAGTAGCTATGGGGAGGGTAAGGAGTTGAGGAATGGGATCGGGCAAGGGGAAAAGGACTGGTGTTTTGATAGCTAGTTTAAAACAGGCAGTAGCAGGCTCCATACGTCTAACTTAGAGAGAGAGACAGAGACAAAGAGGAAGTAGGAGAGCATTAGCGTAATTGTGTCTAAGTGCAGCAGGGACACAAGGGACAGTGCAGTCGTTCTTCTAAGCAAGGCCATGCTCTGCTCAAGCCACACCTTTCCCATGCTGAAACCACAGGGACATATTTGTATATATTTCTGTATATGTTGTAATGCGTATATTAGCAGAAGAACAGAGAATGACACAAAGATAGATATTAACCATGATTAGAAACAGTACATCTCAAGAAAAAAAATACATGAAATCAACCACATCAAAATCTTGCCCTTTACTACAACAAAGTACCATATGGAGTCAAACAAAAACAAAAGTGAACTCTTCAACATCTGGCCTGAAACCAAAAACAGTTTCATCTATTTCACACCAGTCCACAGCTTATGGCACCAGAGCACCGGGGCCTGTACCTTGTACTTGCGGAAGGCAGTTTGGACTAGGCGGGCCGCCTCATATAGCTCTCTCTGCTCTGGATCCGACAGAGTCAGCTGGGCCAGGTCTCGCTCCACTTTGCTGTTGGAGGCATTGATGAACTCACTCCAGTCAGCTGGGGAAGGAAGTGTTGACCTTTCCAGGGGGCCCTCTCTCAACGGAGACCCTCCGGGGCTCAAACTGGGGTTTGATGATGGGGTCAGGGGTTCATTATACAGAGATCTGAGGAAGGATAATGACACATATCTTCTCTTCAATTCTATATATTCTACAGTTTACATTAAGTCTAAAAGAAAGGAAACTATTTACCATTTTTACACTGCGTTACATCTTGCAGCTTTATAAAGCAATTCGACAACTAACAATATAACTCCTTGCAAACTCACAGCCAGTACACAAACATCTGACACTGCACCTTTCAAATCAGACGGTGCCTCTCTTTAGCTTGACATCCCATTCCTTTACACTTTCGGTTAATCCTTTATAGTATTATGTTTAAAGCTAGTACATTAAACTTAAACTGCAAGTTATTCTAAAAGCCATATATGTACAAATCTCTTTGGCTGTCTATCCATTAAATCACATAAAATCAGGTACCTTTAGACAAAGCACAGAAAAAAAGAGAAAATATTCAAACAGGTGGGAGGGCATACTAGATATGCAATATACTGGGTACTGCATATCCAGTTGGCTATATTTATATCTATTCCTTGCACCACGGTGAATCTTACCGTAGATGTATGATGCTTGGCAGCTGTTCTACGTCTCCCAGGTAGTTGGCCAGCCAGTTCATGGTGTTGCTGACCCCTGATGTGTCTAAGGGCACAGAGTCTGCAGCGGTGAAGTTCTCCCTTTTGATTCTCTCTGGCGTTGCTTCAATTATGTGCTCAGCCAGAGTCATCATATTTACCTGTTTTATTAAGAAAAAAAAAAGAAAACCCGTGAGGAGTCAGTGTATTTTTTCTACTGTATATACAGTTTGAGAGACTAACTATTATGTTTTACTATGGTGTAGTCATGCAAATTTAATTGTTTGGTGCTGCGACAATAATGCGGATTCAAGAGGGGAAACAGAAAGGAGAGAGGGATAAAAATGATGACAGTGATATTTCTGGAGGGTAAAAATAACACTTCATTTGTAAGAGGAGTAGTTAGACTGAATCCCTGGAACAATTCCTTGGCCATTGAAGTGGATCAATAAAGAGAGTTTATTATGCAGTGACGGGCATCGACAGAATGCCAGGCCTGGTGTATTCTGCCTGCTGAATGCAGGAGGCCAGAAAAAAAACTTACAAAAAAAAAATGGTGGTTGTTAGTGGTAGGTTATAATGCTGCAAAGCTTTCTTTAATGATGATTGTGTAGCTGTATTGTATGTCACCCTATCAAAGTGGTGCCACACCCTGACACGTGGTTTTACGCAAGTTTGCAAATGTTCTTTTTACTTTTATTTGAAATTTTATTTTAAAATGTTTTCTGAATTCATAAGATCTGCTAGAACTGAAACTTTTCTGCCAAATGTTACTTACTAAATGTGATGTGCCTTGTATTTGATATTGTATCAGATGGTACATCATTTCTGCTGTAGAATCTTTAGCAGCACCATCAATTGGCTCATACCAATTGACTGGTAATACTTGCCATGCTCTACACAATCAGCTGACCACATTGAATGTTTGTTTTTTTAATTATTACTCTCACCTGCAGGTCATCCATCTGTGTGAGGCAGTCCTGGTTCTCTAGATCCTCCCGATATGATAGCAGCTCTGAATCAGCCATTTCACTTTCTGACATCACTAGCATCCCTAACTGTTCCCGCTGCCGTAACCGATTGGCCAGTTTCTCCTTCCCCAAGCTGCTGCCTCCACTGACACCCAGCGCCTTCCTTCCCAAGTTGCTGCTGCTGGAGAAACTCTCTCTGGAGGTCCATCTTGTTGTCCCTGTGCTGCCTCCAGTAGACAGTCCTTTGTCTGAGCTCAGGACTTCTGAGGACAGGCTCTTAGTGCTCGAGGACAGCTTGTGCAGCTGTTGCTGCTCCAGGCTCAAAGGAACAGACATGGCCTTGTCAGGCCGAGTTTGAAACAGTTCTGGGTTGGGTTTATGTTTTTTAGCTAGTGGGAGGTCTCTTTGGCCCTCGGTGCTGTAGTAGTTGGAGGGTTCTGACCTTGGCCTTCTCAAGTCTGCAAAAAAAGAAAAGAAAAACACACAACACGTAACAATTAGCTGCAGAGCACACTAATAAACATTTTGTTTGTTATAAGCTGTTTTCACACATGCACTGCAGCTCGCTGGTAAAAAAGTCAGTGTGATGCTAAGTGAAGAGTGAGTGGGCAACATATTTTCTGACTCCTGCACACTCTATCCAGGAATCACTACGAACTAAACCAAGCAAAGTATGTCCGACAGCGAGAACGTATCTCAAGCAGACTGTTTCCTGTTCTCAGCTACATTGAGACGGGGCAACTTTGGACAATGCTCTGATCTGATTAATGTGTGAAAATGGCAACAGAATATCAGAAAATAAAGCATCTCACAGTCAGTGACTTTTCTTCCATTCTGCTAACCTGGATTGAGGCTGGTAGTGCTGGGTGTGGTTGTTGTGGTGGCAGGACATCCTTTCTTGCCACTTGGTGCTACTACACTGGTGTTTGCCCAGCTGACCATCCAGCTGTCTGTGGTGGGGGCATCAGGGGCTGGGGAAAAAGACATGCGAGTTGTAGGTGGTAGAGGGGCTGGCGGTTGCTGCTCTTCCCTCTGTAACTGCTCCAGACACTCTGCCAATTTGGTATGGCCACGTGAGCGGGCGATTGACAGGGGTAAGCGGCCCAGAGAATCTGGGATAGCTAGGGCACGTCTGTCCCATTTGTACAGTACCACCGCTGCCTCCAGGTGACCCAGCGCACAGGCCCACATCTAGATAAAATACAGATGGACACAAAAAAGCAGAAACAGCAAAAATGAGCTAATCTGTACCACAAGCCAGGGTTTTCTTCATTTTTGTTTGCATTGTCTTATGTTAAATTCAGTTCCCTTACCAGAGGCGTGCACGAGAAGTGATCCACATTGAGAGGGTCCACTTCTAACTCCAAATCAATGCTATCAGCATGCTTTGTACTGGTTGGTAAAAAAGGAAACAATTAGCATCTCACTTCTGTTTTAATGTGCACATCAATTACAGAACAAAGCGCCATTGCTCAGTACTAGAGAATTATGCTCTTACCGCCACTTGATGAGTGTCTGGATGAGGGTGGCGTAGCCCTGGCCTGCAGCCAGATGAAGAAGTGTCATGCCTCTGAAGGTCTTGGAGTGGATTAAATGCTTGGACTTGGCCCAGCAAGCTCTGCTCATCATCTTCTCGCAGACCACCACAACACGGCTCTCAAAGGAGCTGCTGGCTTGCGTTTGGCCAGATACACACTCAAAGACACAAAACAGCAGATCGTTATTGGTTGCTGCATATACTGTTTGTACGGTTGCTGTCCATGGTGACAAGCACAGTGACTGTCATTCAGCACAACACAAGGGGTATGATGTGGCTCTTTACCTGTGACTGGTTATTGTTGCCTCCACCGCCAGCTCCTCCACCACCTCCTCCACCACCACCTCCTCCTCCTCCTCCCCCTGTTCCTCCCCCAGCTCCACCACTCCCTGCACCGCTCGTTTGCTGGTGGCTGGCCATCTCTGCCATCCTCCTCTCCATCTGCTCCAAGCGCTCCAGGATAGACATTCTGAACTGGTTATCTGGGCAAAGAGAAAGACACAGAAAAACACATTGGCATACAATGAGGATCTGGTGTGAGAAAAAGAAAAAGATGTCTTGTGTTTGCTCGTACAAGCACAAACAACCCTGTATCCTGATAAGACAAACGATCGCACAGTATGCACCACAGCTGCACCAGTATGTTACTCTGAGGAGCACTAGAACTGTCGCAGTGACTTGGGGCTAATCATCGTCAGGCATACAATCAACCATTTAAAAACGAATGCACTAATGCCTACTTTTGAGGTGCTGTAAAGCTGAGGGAAAGGTAATTACTTTCAGCTATAATGCAAGACCTTAGGATCATTATTTATCACTCCGGAATGTAAGTGAAAACAAGTGCATCCATCATTCACTTCATCAAAACAATTGGCTTTACTAAAATAATCTGTAAAGCCTATCAATCACTCCTTAATGGCTTCCATCACTAAACTCCTGCTGCCATCTTTCTCACATCACTCAAACACCACTCCAGCAGACTAAGACAGGTTGAAAGATTGGCCAGAGAGCAGGGCCATTTTAAATTTGAACCACTCTTCCTCAGATGGATTCAGACAAGCTCGGGGGGGG